CGACTGATGAAGGAAAGATGTGCTTAGAATTTATTATTATTGCGTGTGTGCATGCAGAAGACATGTATGTGGATGTGTATGTGTGGAGGTCAGAGGACAACTTTGTGGCGCCCTCCTCATCCACCTTTACATGACAGAACTCAGGTCACTAGGCTTTCGCAGTGAGCCTCTTACCACCGAGCCACCTGGCCAACCCTGAGATGCGCACCTCTGTACCCTTTCTGGGTTCTGCTGCCTTCAAATATTATCAACAGAGTTCAGACCAGGGCCTCCCCAGCAAAGAGAACTCTCTCCGCACTGGCTTCCCTGTTTCTTCCCACACCCCCTTTTTTCCTCTCAGTTGGCAGACCTGTGCTATGTGGGCGATGGTATGCATGATAAAAATATCCAAGCCTTTGATTTGACTCTGTTCTTAATTTTCATTCTGGTCTTTGTAGAGTTTAATAAATAAGCAAGCATTGTCTCCCTTCGTTGGGCTGCCATTAGAGTCAGAGGATTCTGTTACAGCTCAGAATCGCCTGAATAAACAGGAGGGGCAGAACGTCAAACCTGTGCGGGAAGAAAACGCCTCTCAGGGGCTTGGAAGAGACTTGCTTGCCCTGATCTTCTGGCTTTGATCTTCAAGGCTCCGTTAATCAGGGTAGTGACTTTAACAAGCTTTTGTGTCTGGGCCAAGGATGTAGGCCAAAAGGTCATATAAAGAAAAAATAACAACAACAACAATAACAACTACACGTTGCTGTCCGAGTCAGATAACCCATCTGGAGATGGTTCTCAGCATAGACAGTAGGCAGGACGAACCATGGCCGTGATCCAGAGACAGGTGGATACTACCACCTGGGCAAACTGGAGACAGTAGGGAGCCAGCACCTGGAGTCCGGGAACACAGGTGCATCAGGGGAGTTGCTGGGTTGAGATGCCCAGATTTCTTTTTTCCTTGGTTGTGGTACTTGGGATTGAAGGAGCTTTGTACATGCACACCCTCCAACTAAAACATACCCCGCTCCCAAGAGATCCTCTTTCTATGCACTTCCCATCTTACCAGCACACACTCATGGCCACAGGATACATTCCTTCCTTTGAGCCTCCTTCCCCGACTGGCTCACAGTCTGCTGCAGATTCAAAGATAAGCCTCTAACTAGGGGCAGGGGGGATGGTTCAGTGCATAAAGTACTTGCTGTGTAGCATGAGGAACTAAGTTCAGATCCCCAGCACCCATCTAGAAAGTTGGGCACTGTGGCATGTGTCTGTAACTCAGTGCTGGGGAGCAGAGATAGTTAGATCCCTGGGGCTTGTTGGTCAAGTCAGTATAGGACACACACACACACACACACAGAGAGAGAGAGACAGATTATAAGATTACATTGTAGATCTCTGGTTTAATATACCTGGGTTGGAAAATGAAAAAAAAATGAAAGCAATACTTTTGAACGTGCGTGTGTTGGTTTGAATAGGAATGGCCCCCATGGGCATAGGTATTTGAATGATTGGTCATTAGGGAGTGATGCTATTTGATAGGGATTAGGAGGTGTGGCCTTGTAGGAGGTAAAGTGTCCTTGGGGGTGGGCTTTGGGGTTTCAGCAGCCCAAGCCAGGTCCAGTGGCTGGCTCCCTCTTCCTTCTGCCTTTAGATCTGGATGTAGACGCCGGCTCCTTCTCCAGCACAATGTCTGCCTTCATGCTACCATGCTCCCCACTATGATGACAACCTCTGAACCTGTAAGCCAGCTCCAATTAAATGCTTTTTTTAAAAAAAAAAAATAAAAGTAACTTGTCATGGTGTCTCTTCCCAACAATAAGATACTGACTAAGACACCATGGTAGCTTTTTAACTAGCCAGACCATACTGACATCCGAAGACTTTCGAAACTTCATCTTTAACCACTTTCACTTCCTCTACCAAGGCTGTGCTGTGGCTCCCTGCTGGCCCCTTTCCTGAAAAGACACCAGGCTTCAAAACGTTTCTGACTGAATCCTGTTCTTGTGGACAATGGCAACCGTGCCCTTCCCAGAACCAGGCAACCAGGAGACACATGACCTCTCTCCTTCAGTGGCTCTGCAGCCTTCTCGCCCATTTCCCTTCAGACAGGGACTCATTGTGTAGCCCTGATGAGCCTGGAACTCCCAGAGCTCTGCCTCCTGCGTGTTAGGATCAGGGTATTGTCACCACATCTGACCCGCCTTTGCTGTGTTTGTCCCCAGCCTCCCTACGAGCCCAGGACACAATCACCTGCTGAGTCCACTGAGTCCCAGAATCTTGCCGACCACAAGGGAGCACACCCTCCACCCTTCAACAGCTACCTCCTTCCTGTCTGTTTGCTTCTTAGGGTGACTGACCACAAACCGAGGGGCCCGACACAGAAGCAATTTATTCTTTCACACTTCTGGACCTAGAAGTTCCAAACCAAGACGCCAGCTAGTGGGTTCCTTCTGGGGACCCTGAGGGAGGCTCTTATTCAATGCCTTCCTTGGGGTCAGGGGCCTCAGGCCATCCTCCATGTTCTTAGTTTTAGATGCTTTGATCTAGTGTCTTTTAAAAAAAAAGCAATAAATATACATCTACTTTTAAATGGAGATGAAAAGGCGCTACATGTTCACCATGGGATGTTAAATGTATACCTTGATGTTCACATCGTCTCCTCTCCATTCTGTGTCTCTATGGTTTTTTTCCCCCAACATAATGTTTTTATTGATTATTTGGGAGTTACAATGTTTTTTTGCAAGGTCAAAATTTTTATTACCTTCAATTTTCTATACCATTTTCAAACTTTCATTACAATAAGAATTCACTAAATATATAATATATTCTAGAAGAATTTTACTTGGCACATAGGAGAAAAGAGGAGCTTCCTTTTTTTTTTTTACTTGATTTATCTAATATCAGTGAATATATTCTCAGTGGGCATTTACCCTGTGCTTTATCTATGTTGTTAGATTTTTTTCTTGCTTTTTATTATTATTGAAAGACAAAGCCAACTTGAATTCTCATGAGCTGCAGCTTGGCGTCTAAGTAGGAGAGCATCCTCCTCATTACCAAACATCCTTCGTGTCCTCTGAGAGAACACAGAGCTGCATCACCAGAGAGGAGGCTACGGGGACCCTAGTCCCCAGGGAAATTGTTATTATTTTTAAATATTTGACACAATTCCTTTTTTTTCCATAAAAGCTTTTTATTTGTTTTACATCTCTAGAAAAAGAATCCCAGAATTTTCCCTCCTGTGTGCTTTCGTCTCACCTCTTCATGATTCATGATGCCAGCGGAGGCGGTCAGTACAATGAAGCCAAACTGACGGGACGGGAGCAGATTGTTCTGCCATTTTTCTAGGTTTTTGAGTTGCACATCAAATCTAGGACTTATCACGCCACACTTGTTCAACCTGCCTGTGAGGTTCACAACGATCTTCCCAGATTTGTGGTCATCAGTGATTTCAAATTCGCCAATGTAACCGTGCTTCACCCTCACGGTTAGGTACCGAACGATGACTTTGGAGCAGGGCCTGATGAGGACCTGGCGTTTGCCTCTCTTCTCTGCATTGTTGATGCTCTTGAGAGCATCAGCCAGGACATTCATGCGCACCATGGTGGCGGCGCGGGAAGATGGCGGAAAGAGGGTGGGAGGGCCGAACGCATGGAGTTATCTGACATAATTCCTTTATTGAATCTTGGGGAGCTTGACATCATGCTTACCTCCCAGCCCCTCCGTATCCTCCCCTCCCCTCTGTAGCGCCCACCCCCATAAACATAAAAAAAAAAATCAAACCAAACCGAACCAAACAAACCAAAACCAAAGGAATAAAAACAAAACAAAACAACAGAAACCTCTTTGAGCTCCATCTTTTACACCTCTCAGTGTCCTGGTGGCATTGGGAGCTTCGGTGTGTCACACAGTAGACCAATCAGCTTTACTTGCAAATGTCATTGCAGTGAGCCACTGGTCTGGTTCAGGCCTCTGGTTTCTGGGACACTCTTATTCTGGATCCTCACTGTGACGCCTCCCTGAGAGCCTGCTGCCATGGAGATCAAGCGGTTATTGTTCCACAGGACCAGTCCCTTCATAGCTCCAGCAGGTCATAGATGGGCTAGATGTTAGGGTGGGCCAACTCCAGGCCTGGCTGTGGGCCTAGGTGGTAGTTGAGCTGGTCAGTCCAGGCACTGGGACCATACCCCTTAGGGGAGGGGTGGAGTCAGCTCTCCCCTGTCTGTGGTGAGGGGTGGGGCTGTCTCTTCCAAGTGTGATGAGCATTTCTCCCGTGAGGGCCAGGGCCACCTCTCTTGCTGCACTGTCCACTGAAGAAAGGCAGGGCTAACTACCCCATGGCCAGAGATGGGCTGGCCTCCTGAGGTGACACAGGCTAAGACATCCACACAGACCCCAGCAGCAGCAGGACCATGGATCTAGACATGATCCTCGGCAGCAGCCTGGGCCCAGCACCACCCCAGCGCCAGGTGGCAAGAAGGCCTCCCGGGTCAGCTGGCTCCTCACCATCTTCCCTTCTTCTGTTCCTCCTCTTTCCACGGCACGTGACCTGCTCGCTCTGCTTCTCTTTCTCCCTGGTTTCTCGGCCACAAGCCCACTCATCCTCATGGGACCCACGTGGCAGTGGATGTCTTCCTGCCAGCCCGGGTCTTGAGGAGTTTAACATAAGGCACCTTGATCACATTCATTTCCCAGTCTTCTCAGGCCAACCCCGCCTCCCTTATGATCTCTCCCAAAGAAAAGAAGAGGAAAATAGAAAATACCAAGTCCAGTTTGTGCTGTTCATATAATCACCAGAGCATGGTCAAATTCCCAGGAGCTAATCCCTTAAAGAAAACTGAGTCCTTCCCCACCCCACCGCACCCCACCCCCGCCAGAAGTCATCAACTGTGAAGAGCTACACTTCAGGATCAATAGCAGAATTTTTAGGAGTTCTTCTCAATGGCTTTCTGTTGTCTGAATTTTTTTGTCCTGCCCAGTTCCCGCAGTCATTAAATACCAAAGAAATCACACAGAGGTCTACATTAGTTATAAACTGATTGGCCTAGTAGCTCAGACTTCTCATTAACTCTTATATTAGCCCATTATTCATGGCTATGTCAGCCACGTGTCTCGGTACCTTATTTGACGAGGCCGTCACATCTTGCTTCTTCTGTGGCTGGGTCACGACTTCCTTCTTCCCAGAATTCTCCTGCTCTCATTGCCCAGCCTATACTTCCTGCCTGGCTACTGGCCAATCAGCATTTTATTAAAATACAATTGACAGGGTACAAACCATTGCCCCACATAGATTATTTCTTTTAGGGGGACTGGGGTGTGGGTTGGGGGAGAGAAGTTGTCACAGAAGCCTGTGAAGTCCCTTAGTCTCAACTGTGAGTCTGCAGTCACCAACACCACTGCAAGAGAAGCTTCCTTGCCCTTTGCTGTCAGCAACAGCATGGGCCATGGACATCAACAAGTCCCTCGGTTACAACATAGGCATGACATCTACATAGCCTTCGGCAGTAACACAGACCATGGCCATGGCCATCCATACAGCCTCTGGCTGCAGCATGGATCACGGGCACCATCATGGCCCTTGGTGCCAACACAAGTCATGGATATCAGCATGTCCTCCTGTGGGAGCATAGGCCACAGCGCCTCTGTGTGGTTTTATAAAGAGAACAGTCACCTTAAGCCAGTATTAATTCAGAGATTCACTAAATACATCTGCAAATGCCTTATTTCCAAAGGAGGTCCCGTCTTGGAGTTCTAAGTGGATATGAACTTCTGGGGACACTCTTCATGCCAGCATAGTATTTCTCTACTGTGGCTGTTGGAGATTGTCAGCTTGGAAAGGTCTGGAATTGCTGAAGAGACAAGGCATGCCTGTGGGAGGTTATTTAGATTAGGTTGATTGAGGTGTGGATACTCACCCAAAATGTGGGATCCTGGACTGTGTAAAAAGCAAAAAGCAAGCTAAGTACGGATATTCATTGTTCTCTGCTTTTGAACTGTGGACACAGGGTGGCCAGCTGCCTCATATTCCTCTGTCGTGCCTTCTCTACCATGATGAAGACTATATCCCCTAGACAAGCCATAATAAACCATTCCTTCCCGGGCTGTGGAGATGGTTCAGTGGATAAAGTGTTTACCATGCAAAAGTGAGTGTCAAGTTTGAACCCTCAGAACCCATGTCCATTTGGGTGCAATAGTACATATCTATAACCCCAGTAACCCCATGGCAAGACTGGAGGTGGGCCAGCTTGCTAGAGTATGCCTGGTAAACCACAGAAAAGGGGATCCTGTCTCAAGCGAAGCAGAAGGCAAGAACCGGCACCCACACTATGGCATGTATGTGCCAGCTTGCTCTTTCTCTCTCTCTCTCTAAGAAACCAAAACGTTCCCCTCCTTAAATAGCTTTTTTTCAGATATTTTTGTCAAAGCATCGAGACAAGTAAGTACTCGCAATCTCACTCCTACGCTTTCTTTCCTCTTGGGGACAACCCCCTCTTCACTTCCAGCTGTCACCAGTAATGCTGTTCACCGAAAGCAGCAGCGGAGGCAGTGACCGGGGGAGACTGAAGAACGTTTCTTTGTTACTAAGGCACTGCCTCTCTCAAGGCCGTTGTAGTCCACTTCAAACATCCAGTGGCCCTGAGGGAAGTAGGCACCTCAGCAAGGCCAAGTGGAATGCAATGTGGCCTAGAACCAACTGACTTTACAGTCTTCGCACATACTAGATATTAATAGAATGTTGGGGATGTATAAGGCCAGAAGCCCTGCCCTCTTTCTACAAGAAATCCAGCATAGAAGATAACAGTAAATGCCAAGTAAGATAGACGCGCCTTGAGAGAAAAAAAAACAAAACCAAACAGAACTGGGATGGAAGAGACGGGAGAGAGGAACTGTATCCCACTGAAGGGCCTGGATTGCTTCCTGAAGAATGTGGCTGCTGCATGGGGAATGGAAGGAGATTGAGGACCACAGAAAAAGTTCTCACTAAGTTTCAAACTCCAGGTCTCCCCAGCTCGGCCTCCAGAACACTGATATTACAGGCACCGTCCCCAAGGCTCAGTTTAACTACTAAGAGGTGACATTAGCTAGAAAGGAATGGGGTCACAGCAGGGCTACAGGGTAAGCAGTCGTGTAGGCTAAGGGAACACAGAGGTAGCTGAGGGAGCAAGTGGCCACAAGGGTTGTAGGCCGGCTTTGTCACTGGAGAAAGCTGAGGCTGGCTATGAACAGCAGCCCGTGAGTCAGATCCCCGAAGCTTCCTCACTCAGTTTTCTCGTGAAGTAGGGAGTCCATTCCTGGGTCAGCAAAGCTCAGATCAAGCGTAAGCCTGCGCAGGCTTCTCTGATTTACAGTTGTGGTTGGCAACAGATTTTTGTTGTGGTCCTCACCCTCGTGGGAGTGTAGTTTCCGTGAGCCAATGACAGAGGCAGCAAGCAACAGAAGCCACTATGTTCACCTAGGGAAAGAAGCAGCAGAAAGAGCAAACAGAGTTGAAGAATGGGAGGTGAAGATGGGCTCGCCAACTGTGCTGTGAAGGCTGATAGGAAAATCTACGGTCAACCAAGGGCTGGCAGAGGCCTTCACAGACTCATATTTCAAATGCTTGGTTCCCAGCTAATGGTACTGGGGAAAGGGGAGAGGGAGCAGATCGTCCAGTGGTACCCGTTGTCTCCTGGTTTCTTCTCTGACTTGATATTTGCTTAGATATAAAATCACATATGAATACATAGGTTTTGCTTCATGTATAGTTTATGGGGCCATAGTTTTCCAGTTCATACCCATCCCTTTACCTCCTATACTCCTCGTGTGCACCTACAAGTGTCCTTTCTCATTCTCTGAGCTATTGATTATCGATCACGGTATTAGCCGCTTTTCTGGTGCTGTGATAAAATGCCACAACCGAAGCAATTTACGGAAGAAAGAGTTTGTTTGGGCTTACAATTCCCAAGGGCTGAGTACATCATAGTGGAGGCAGGCAGCAAACAATAGGCGTGGGCGCTGGAGAAAATGGAGCTGAGAGTCACACTCTTTACTATAAGCCTGAAGTAGAGAAAACAGACTGGAAGAAGGAGAAGCTTTCATTCTCAAATCCTGCCTCCAGAAGCACACTTTCTCCACCTCTACTGCTCCTCCTGAACATCCCCAAACAGTACCACTAACTGGGAACCAAGTGTTCAAATGCTAGAGACTGAGGATATCTATCTATCTATCTATCTATCTATCTATCTATCTATCTATCTATCTATCTATC